GAGCATGGGGGATATAGGAAGGTGGAGGAGCATGGGGGATATAGGAAGGTGGGGGGAGCATGGGGGATATAGGAAGGTGGGGGGGAGCATGGGGGATATAGGAAGGTAGGGGGAGCATGGGGGACATAGGAAGGTGGGGGGAGCATGGGGGATATAGGAAGGATAGGAAGGTGGGGGGAGCATGGGGGATATAGGAAGGTGGGGGGAGCATGGGGGATATAGGAAGGTGGGGGGAGCATGGGGGATATAGGAAGGTGGGGGGAGCATGGGGGATATAGGAAGGTGGGGGGGAGCATGGGGGATATAGGAAGGTGGTGGGAGCATGGGGGATATAAGAAGGTGGGGGGGAGCATGGGGGGATATAGGAAGGTGGGGGGAGCATGGGGGATATAGGAAGGTGGGGGGGAGCATGGGGGATATAGGAAGGTGGTGGGAGCATGGGGGATATAAGAAGGTGGGGGGGAGCATGGGGGGGATATAGGAAGGTGGTGGGAGCATGGGGGATATAGGAAGGTGGGGGGAGCATGGGGGATATAGGAAGGTGGTGAGAGCATGGGGGATATAGGAAGGTGGTGGGAGCATGGGGAATATAGGAAGGTGGGGGGAGCATGGGGGATATAGGAAGGTGGGGGGAGCATGGGGGATATAGGAAGGTGGAGGAGCATGGGGGATATAGGAAGGTGGAGGAGCATGGGGGATATAGGAAGGTGGAGGAGCATGGGGGATATAGGAAGGTGGGGGGAGCATGGGGGATATAGGAAGGTGGAGGAGCATGGGGGATATAGGAAGGTGGGGGGAGCATGGGGGATATAGGAAGGTGGAGGAGCATGGGGGATATAGGAAGGTGGAGGAGCATGGGGGATATAGGAAGGTGGAGGAGCATGGGGGATATAGGAAGGTGGGGGGAGCATGGGGGATATAGGAAGGTGGGGGGTGTGAAGCAAGGTGTAAAAGAGTAATGGCGGCTCCAAGATGCCATTCATATTATATATAAACAAAGAAAGTCAAGAGAACAAATGAAGGCGCGGCAGAGAAGATAAGATAGGAGGGAGTCGCAGGGCAGCGAGGAGGAGGGGTAGAAAATAGCGGCCTAGCAGTGAGGAAGAATTCTGAGGAAAGATAAGGAGTAACCCCCCCCTCCTCCTCCATCTTGAGGGGGGAGGAAATAGCCCTCCAGCACATCTTGGCCAGCACACGTCGCTCCTCGAGTGCCAGCTGATAACTCTCAAGTGTTCACACCAGTGTGTTCTCGGACGGTCTTGGGAGCTGTGAGACGTAGAGTTTACCTGGACGAGGTCTGGGACAGTTGTGAGTCGTGGGGCAGATGTGAGTCGTGGGACAGCTGTGAGTCGTGGGACAGCTGTGAGTCGTGGGACAGCTGTGAGTCGTGGGGACAGCTGTGAGTCGTGGGGACAGCTGTGAGTCGTGGGACAGATGTGAGTCGTGGGACAGATGTGAGTCGTGGGGACAGCTGTGAGTCGTGGGACAGATGTGAGTCGTGGGACAGATGTGAGTCGTGGGACAGATGTGAGTCGTGGGACAGATGTGAGTCGTGGGACAGATGTGAGTCGTGGGGCAGCTGTGTGTCGTGGGGGGGGGGGGGTTGTCCATTCGAAGACTTAGTTTGCGTCAGTTTTAGGGGTTTTCTAAATCATCAATAGTTTGTATTCTCATACAAAAAAATCATTGTACCATCTGCAAAAGATGATACGGTACTGGAGTTTGCGTCCCTGTCCATGTCTAATATGGGAATAAGAAAGAGTACATGAACAAGCATAGTGTCCTGTGGGACAGAACCTTTCAAGGTGGAGATTTGACTTTATTGGCCATTATTCTTTGGCTTCTCTTCATGAGGAAATTAAGATCCATCTTCCTACTTCATCCTTTATTATTCCTTTCGTGAACATTTTTGCGTGCAATTACGCCGTGAGATGGGGATGGGGTGCATAAGAAACTGAATTCGTCACATTTATTAAAAGCTTTCACGAAATCTGTGTATAATTCCTCTGCGATTTACTCGTCTTCCCCTGGGATCTAAGACCATCGTGGCATAGTGGTCTAGGTACTGTGAGAGGCTGGAGTGTCTTGGAGTAAATTTATGTTGTCTAGGGGGTTGTAGACGGGGCGAATCTGGGGTTTGTGGTCTTTGCATTCTCTCCAAGATGTTTACGATGTGTGGTGTTAGTGATCTCGGTCTGTTGTTGGCCTGCGGGCCGCTCCAAGAAACAGCCTGTTGGACCAAACTCTCACAAGTCAAGCCTGGCCTCAGGCCGGGCTTGGGGAGTAGAAGAACTCCCAGAACCCCATCAACCAGGTATCAACCAGGTATCAACCAGGTATCAACCAGGTATTACATTTTGCTTCCGCTTCACTAAGCCACTTTGAGTAGTGCGATCACCGCTGTTTTAAGGGTGTAAGAGGTGACACCGGTGGTGTAGTGATGATACGGAAGGTGTTGTGGTGGTGGTGGTGGAGTGTTGCTGTGTTGTGGTGGTGGAGTGTTGCTGTGTTGTGGTGGTGGAGTGTTGCTGTGTTGTGGTGGTGGAGTGTTGCTGTGTTGTGGTGGTGGAGTGTTGCTGTGTTGTGGTGGTGGTGGAGTGTTGCTGTGTTGTGGTGGTGGAGTGTTGCTGTGTTGTGGTGGTGGAGTGTTGCTGTGTTGTGGTGGTGGTGGAGTGTTGCTGTGTTGTGGTGGTGGAGTGTTGCTGTGTTGTGGTGGTGGAGTGTTGCTGTGTTGTGGTGGTGGAGTGTTGCTGTGTTGTGGTGGTGGAGTGTTGCTGTGTTGTGGTGGTGGAGTGTTGCTGTGTTGTGGTGGTGGAGTGTTGCTGTGTTGTGGTGGTGGAGTGTTGCTGTGTTGTGGTGGCGGAGTGTTGCTGTGTTGTGATGGCGGAGTGTTGCTGTGTTGTGGTGGTGGAGTGTTGCTGTGTTGTGGTGGCGGAGTGTTGCTGTGTTGTGGTGGTGGAGTGTTGCTGTGTTGTGGTGGTGGAGTGTTGCTGTGTTGTGGTGGTGGAGTGTTGCTGTGTTGTGGTGGTGGAGTGTTGCTGTGTTGTGGTGGTGGAGTGTTGCTGTGTTGTGGTGGTGGAGTGTTGCTGTGTTGTGGTGGTGGAGTGTTGCTGTGTTGTGGTGGCGGAGTGTTGCTGTGTTGTGGTGGTGGAGTGTTGCTGTGTTGTGGTGGTGGAGTGTTGCTGTGTTGTGGTGGCGGAGTGTTGCTGTGTTGTGATGGCGGAGTGTTGCCGTGTTGTGGTGGTGGAGTGTTGCTGTGTTGTGGTGGTGGAGTGTTGCTGTGTTGTGATGGCGGAGTGTTGCCGTGTTGTGGTGGTGGAGTGTTGCTGTGTTGTGGTGGTGGAGTGTTGCTGTGTTGTGGTGGTGGAGTGTTGCTGTGTTGTGGTGGTGGAGTGTTGCTGTGTTGTGGTGGTGGAGTGTTGCTGTGTTGTGGTGGTGGAGTGTTGCTGTGTTGTGGTGGTGGAGTGTTGCTGTGTTGTGGTGGTGGAGTGTTGCTGTGTTGTGGTGGTGGAGTGTTGCTGTGTTGTGGTGGTGGAGTGTTGCTGTGTTGTGGTGGTGGAGTGTTGCTGTGTTGTGGTGGTGGAGTGTTCCTGTGTTGTGGTGGTGGAGTGTTGCTGTGTTGTGGTGGTAGTGGTGGTGTTGTTGCTATGTTACGGGGGGTGGAGGGGGGGGGCGAGGGTGGGCGTGAGGGCATTATGTGAGATAATCTGCTAGTTACTGTGCCAGGCGGGCAGTGGGCGGGGGGGGGGGGGGAGCCTCCGCCAGATTGTCTAGGAATGTCAGGGTAAACACCAGCACGCGCTACACCCCCCTTCCCCTCCCCCCCCCCCCTCCTTCAACCCCTCCCCCCCCCGACGCCCCCCCTCTTTCGACGCACCCCCCCCCCTCTCTCGACGCCCCCCCCCCCTTCTTTCGACGCACCCCCCCCCCCCTCTCTCGACGTCCTCCTCCCCTTGACAACCTCCTACATAAACAAGGAGGACCGTCAAAGCAGCTATTAGCCAACAAGATCAAGGCAGCAATTTTGAGAAGCAATGGAAAATAAACACAATTAAACAAAAGTTCCAGATAATACACATTGCCAAAAGAAATCCAGACCCCCATTATCCTTGACAACCATCTTATCCAATGTGCGGGGGGTGGGCAGAATACTGGGACTCACGATCAATAGAACACGGATAAAAATTCACGTAACGGACAGAATAAACAAAGCCAAAGCAGCCTTAGGAAAACTGAGGAGATTCCGAAGTCTCAGTGTAAACACATAGCTACACTTCTATAAGGCTGAGACGTAGATCCGGCCGCATCTAGAGTATCCCCCAGTACCACTACGCACTTTAAAGAAAACTAATATGCAAAAACTACAAGCAGTGCAAAATATGGCGCTAAGGAGAGCAGCAAAACACCGTCCACCATATGATCAGACAATCCAGGAGCTCCACGAACTCCTGAACATACAGCCACTAAACATCAGACTGCAGCACCAAGCCATCACGGTGTGGAACACTGTCGTAATGTTAAAGGACCCAATGTTAGGGAGATTACTCCAAGATGAGACGCCCCGCTCCCACAGCTGGTGGGCCAAGATCAAATGCCCCGCTCCCACAGCTGGTGGGCCAAGATCAAATGCCCCGCTCCCACAGCTGGTGGGCCAAGATCAAATGTCCCACTCCCACAGCTGGTGGGCCAAGAAGAGGCGCCCCGCTCCCACAGCTGGTGGCCCAGAAGCCTCCATTCTACTAGATGAAAACCCAGCCCCACAGTACATAATTCCCAAATGAAATACTGACCAGAAATCCCTCCCGCAATAATTGAATACATAATTTTCGTGTATATATATATACAAATCCCTCCCGCAATATTATATATATATATATATATATATATATATATATATATATATATATATATATATATATATATATATATATATATACACACACACACACACGTTAACATAACGTGTGTACTCATCTAGTTGTACTCACCTAGTGAGCACTATGAAGCACGAGCCTGTGGAGCACGAGGCTGTGGAACACAAGCCTGTGGAGCACCAGCCCGTGGAGCACGAGCCTGTGGTGCACGAGCCTGTGGTGCACGAGCCTGTGGAGCACGAGCCTGTGGAGCACGAGCCTGTGGAGCACGAGCCTGTGGAGCACGAGCCTGTGGAGCACGAGCCTGTGGTGCACGAGCCTGTGGAGCACGAGCCTGTGGTGCACGAGCCTGTGGTGCACGAGCCTGTGGTGCACGAGCCTGTGGAGCACGAGCCTGTGGAGCACGAGCCTGTGGAGCACGAGCCTGTGGAGCACGAGCCTGTGGAGCACGAGCCTGTGGTGCACGAGCCTGTGGTGCACGAGCCTGTGGAGCACGAGCCTGTGGTGCACGAGCCTCTGGAGCACGAGCCTGTGGAGCACGAGCCTGTGGAGCACGGACCCGTTGAGCACGCCCCAGCGGCTGTCACCTCCCTGTACACGAAGGGTGACTAATATTGGTCTCACACTCACAACAGCTGCTTCACACTCGCCATTATCACTCTGATTTACATTCTTTATTCCCTCCTACATGACATCACTTGTTAATTGGCTAGAGCGGACTCAGATCCTCTGACGTCAGCGGGTGGAGGGCCAATCACCTCTTAACTGATAATTTATTTGTAGCTTGTACTGTCCCTTCTCTCTGTTGATGTTGGGTGATGTCAATACATCAACGAACTTTAATTGTCGTGAGACCTTTGTGTCTCCCACAGTCGTGAGACCTTTGGGTCTACCACAGTCGTGTGACCTTTGTGTCTACCACAGTCGTGAGACCTTTGTGTCTACCACAGTCGTGAGACCTTTGTGTCTACCACAGTCGTGTGACCTTTGTGTCTACCACAGTCGTGTGACCTTTGTGTCTCCCACAGTCGTGTGACCTTTGTGTCTCCCACAGTCGTGTGACCTTTGTGTCTCCCACAGTCGTGTGACCTTTGTGTCTACCACAGTCGTGTGACCTTTGTGTCTACCACAGTCGTGTGACCTTTGTGTCTACCACAGTCGTGTGACCTTTGTGTCTACCACAGTCGTGTGACCTTTGTGTCTACCACAGTCGTGTGACCTTTGTGTCTACCACAGTCGTGAGACCTTTGTGTCTACCACAGTCGTGTGACCTTTGTGTCTACCACAGTCGTGTGACCTATGTGTCTCCCACAGTCGTGTGACCTTTGGGTCTACCCAAGTCGTGTGACCTTTGTGTCTACCACAGTCGTGTGAGCAGTTTATCAACAAGTCTAAACAAAACACTATGGTCACCTAACAAGGTTCACTAACAAGAATCAGGCCTATGTAGGAAAAAAAAATTGGTCCTAGGTAGCCTATATCGTGTCTAGGACAAGACATAGGCCTATATAATAGGCTGTCACGGGCTGCTTCCTGGGGGGTGGAGGCCTGGTCGAGGACCGGGCCGCGGGGACACTAAAGCCCCGAAATCATCTCAAGATAACCTCAAGATAGATTAGCTATACCGGAACAAGAGAACCGGTTGACAGGCTATACCCACGTAGTCACCCATCCACTCACTGGTCTTAACGTTACTAAGCGACGTCGCGCTTGTTCTAATGATGATTTGCATAATGGGTGCAGCTGCGACTACTGTGTGGGGGGAGTTATGGAGCTGCCTGCTGCAGCGGTCCGCAGCTCCTGCTGCTGCTGCTCCTCTCACTGTGTAAACATCTCATAATTGTCACTCTCGCCGCTCTCGGCTCGCAAACAACCACGTTTTATGTGTATGGTTAGGTTGGGTTAGGTTGGGTTAGGTTAGGTTGGGTTAGGTTAGGTTGGGTTGGGTTAGGTTGGGTTAGGTTAGGTTGGGTTGGGTTGGGTTAGGTTAGGTTGGGTTAGGTTAGGTTAGGTTGGGTTAGGTTGGGTTAGGTTAGGTTGGGTTAGGTTAGGTTGGGTTAGGTTAGGTTGGGTTGGGTTAGGTTGGGTTAGGTTAGGTTGGGTTAGGTTAGGTTGGATTAGGTTAGGTTGGGTTAGGTTAGGTTGGGTTAGGTTAGGTCAGGGGTCAGGGGCCAGGTTATGTCAGGTTACGTCAGGTCAAGTCAGGTTAGGCCAGGCCAGTTCAGGTCAGGTTAGACCAGGCCAGTTCAGGTCAGGTTAGACCAGGTCAGGTCAGGTTAGGTATACGAGTTCATTGTTGTTTGACCCTTGTGGCCATTCAAGAGGACGGTCTCCTCAGCCAGTCTGGCAAACATCACTAAACAAGAGAACTGCGCTGTTTACCAGCGATATATAATATATATATATATATATATATATATATATATATATATATATATATATATATATATATATATATATACATATATATATATGTGTGTGTGTGTGTGTATCACGAAAATAAACACGTGATTAAAAATGTGACAGTGTCAGACCACGGAGGAAAATTGAAACAGGAATTTCCTTAAGTACTTTCGTATATTAATACATCTTCAGAAGGAGTTAATACATCTACTCCTTCTGAAGATGTATTAATATACGAAAGTACTTAAGGAAATTCCTGTTTCAATTTTCCTCCGTGGTCTGACACTGTCATATATATATATATATATATATATATATATATATATATATATATATATATATATATATATATATATATATATATATATATATACCGCACACGCCGCCCCGAAGGCCACAGTAATCCTACCCGAATTACCACCTTACACAGAGGTTACGAGGGCGCCGTGTACGTGGCTGAGGATACGACTATTGGGGGTCGCTGATGGGAGATATATCCGCTTTTGATGTGCTGAGGTTGTTCAATGATGGTAAGGGATCCGTCGTGGGTCGTTCTCTTGGGAGGCTTGTTCAGAATAGGGAAAACAATTGTGTTAATTGAACAAATTGTGTTAATTGATCATTAACAGTGTATTTGTGTTCTTCTCTTGTATTGAAATGTCAAGATTCAGTACAGGGATAGACCGTCTTTACCCGTTTTCTATATATTTACATGGGACCAAAAACGTGCTTCCAAAAAATAAACATGTCTTTGAAAGTGGGAAGATTTGAAAGGGGCAGGAGAGGCTAAAATAAAAACCCCAATATAATAAATATAGGAATAATCTAACCTAGGAATTGGTTAGGATAACATGTGTTTTAATTTGTAGCTTTTATTAAATACAGCACAGGACAAGGGCTGATTAATAAAATAATGCAGTTACGACATTAATATAAACAAGCAAATTTAGGATAAATTGTAATTATTTCCAATATACCAGAAAGAAATAGTTACTAGTGCTACTTGGTCTTGTACTGGAGGACTCCTCCGCTCTCATGTGTGGAGGGAATCTCACAGTCTTAAATACTATTCTTTACTTAGTCACGAAATCTATGAACAAATCCACAAGGGCCGTGACGAGGATTCGAACCTGCGTCTGGGAGCATCCCAGACACTGCCTTAATCGACTGAGCTTTTGATGCATCATGTTAGTGTGATCTCTGTGTGTGTGTCACGAAATCTATTCTTTGCTTTGTCACGAACTCTGTGGCAGTAGAGTAAATTACGTCTGTCTTACCCACAAGACCATTGCTTGTAATGCGCTTTCGAGCATCTGATTGCAAGCTGGGGCCTACATATAGTAGTGCTTGCGACTCGATTTGGATGTTTGATAGGCTTATGTACACCGTGTGAAGCTAGACCAGTGGTGTTACGCATGCGGCCGTGGCTACAGGTGTCACGCATGCGGCCGTGACTACAGGTGTCACGCATGCGGCCGTGGCTACAGGTGTCGGTCACAGGCTGAGTAACAAGCCTGTCACCTGGGAATATTGTTCTGCCCAGGTTATAAGACAGTGTTGCCGGATAACGTAGTTAATGAGATATCCCGGAATTGTTTCAGTCGTAGGCTAGACATATATATGAATGTGTTTTGGTGGATATAAATAGGAAGGGAAGGGAACTATGAGGAGAAAGCTCCAAGCCATTACGACTATATAGCACTTGGAAGGGGTCAGATTAGGGATGGGACGGGGGAAAGGAATGGTGCAGCCTGGTATGGGTCAACAGGTTTTCTCCAGTTTGTTTTCTGCTTATGTTCTTATGAGGGAGCCGGTCGGTCGAACGGACAGCACACTCGACTTGTGATCCTGTGGTCCTGGGTTCGATCCCAGGCGCCGGCGAGAAACAGTGGGCAGAGTTTCTTTCACCCTATGCCCCTGTTACCTAGCAGTAAAATAGGTACCTGGGTGTTAGCCAGCTGTCACGGGCTGCTTCCTGGGGGTGGAGGCCTGGTCGAGGACCGGGCCGCGGGGACACTAAAGCCCCGAAATCATCTCAAGATAACCTCAAGATGTATAGGCTGATGTGCGAGGCAAGATCAGAGGGCAAGAGTAGTCTCACCCTCATTAATAGTTCCTAAGACAATTTCATCACCATAAATTTCTGATTCCCCTCAAGGATTCGAACCTAGGCTGCCAGCGTCTTGCTACTGGCTGCCTAGTATCGTAACCACTACACCTGCGATTGTCTAAATGTGTCGGACGGTGGTAACAACGCCCCACAGACACCCGGCAACACTCGTGGCGCACAATTCCGGCAAAGTTATTTTCACCAGTCCCTTGAAGATGCTGTGGAGTCCCACTCAGCATACATAGGTCTGCAAAGCTCCAGTGGCCAATCAAGCCATTTTTATATCAATAAACTCTTCTGACCTCTTCAAGGATTCGAACCTATGTGTGTGGTGTCATGAGCTTTCGATACTTTTAGGCAATCCTTGTTGTAGTGTCTATGGTATTATCCTGTAGGAAGGCCCTGGCAGCCTTGAGTCGAATTCCTGAGAGGTTTATATATATATATATATATATATATATATATATATATATATATATATATATATATATATATATATATATATATATATATATATATATATTTAGTGCCGGTATCCAAAATGAATTAGATTTATCCGTTTTCATAAGGGACTAAAACTGGGATCTTGCTGTCAATTGTGAAGATTGCTTCTTAGTCTTCTTTACGGCACGTGTGTGACGTGAGGTCATTAACGTGGTGAGGGAGAGTGAGACAGACAGCTGGGAGGCGTCCAGAAGGAGTTTAGTGCGAGGGGTAACATGCCGCTCTCTTGGACGCCCCTGTGTTTATTGTGATGGTTCCGCGGCTCAAGAGCCGGGTGTGCTCTTGTAGAGGGGGTGTGTTGCCGGCTCTTGTAGAGGGTGTGTGTTGCTGGCTCTTGTAGAGGGGGTGTGTTGCTGGCTCTTGTAGAGGGGGTGTGTTGCTGGCTCTTGTAGAGGGTGTGTGTGTTGCTGGCTCTTGTAGAGGGGGTGTGTTGCTGGCTCTTGTAGAGGGGGTGTGTTGCTGGCTCTTGTAGAGGGGGTGTGTTGCCGGCTCTTGTAGAGGGGGTGTGTTGCTGGCTCTTGTAGAGGGGGTGTGTTGCTGGCTGTTGTAGAGGGGGTGTGCTGCCGTCTCTTGTAGAGGGGGTGAGTTGCTGGCTCTTGTAGAGGGGGTGTGCTGCCGTCTCTTGTAGAGGGTGTGTGTTGCCGGCTCTTGTAGAGGGTCTGTGTTGCTGGCTCTTGTAGAGGGGGTGTGTTGCTGGCTCTTGTAGAGGGGGTGTGTTGCTGGCTCTTGTAGAGGGGGTGTGCTGCCGGCTCTTGTAGAGGGGGTGTGTGCTGCCGGCTCTTCTAGAGGGGGTGTGTTGCTGGCTCTTGTAGAGGGGGTGTGTGCTGCCGGCTCTTGTAGAGGGGGTGTGTGCTGCCGGCTCTTGTAGAGGGGGTGTGTTGCTGGCTCTTGTAGAGGGGGTGTGTTGCTGGCTCTTGTAGAGGGGGTGTGTGCTGCCGGCTCTTGTAGAGGGGGTGTGTTGCCGGCTATTGTAGAGGGGGTGTGTTGCTGGCTCTTGTAGAGGGGGTGTGTGTTGCTGGCTCTTGTAGAGGGTGTGTGCTGCCGGCTCTTGTAGAGGGGGGTGTGCTGCTGGCTCTTGTAGAGGGGGTGTGTGCTGGCGGCTCTTGTAGAGGGGGGGTGTTGCTGGCTCTTGTAGAGGGGGTGTGTTGCTGGCTCTTGTAGAGGGTGTGTGCTGCCGGCTCTTGTAGAGGGGGTGTGTTGCTGGCTCTTGTAGAGGGGGTGTGTTGCTGGCTCTTGTAGAGGGGGTGTGTTGCCGGCTCTTGTAGAGGGGGGGTGTGCTGCCGGCTCTTGTGGTAGTGTGTTGTATAATAAATCACATCACCGTAACACAGTTTGTGAGGATTTACTGACGTTAACCTCTTCGATGTGTAGAGTGGGGGGGGGGGAGGCCGAGGATGGCCAGGGGGGGGGGGATGTGTGGCCCAGTCGTCTTTTGCCTGGACGCTACCTGAGGAGACCTCCAGGATCCACAGTCACGGGGCATCTCAGGGAAGAGCTTCTTCATCTTCCGGTAGTTCATCTCGACATCTTCTGGCGCCTGGTGACTCTTGCTGTGGGTCGAGGACGATCTTACCGGTGTGTGTGTGTGTGTGTGTGTGTGTGTGTGTGTGTGTGTGTGTGTGTGTGTGTGTGTGTGTGTGTGTGTGTGGGGCGAGCAGTAATCCCCGGCTCGCCCCAACAGACACGCTCTTCTCGGCCATGCTCCATCACCGCTACACGTCTACGGTGCTGCGTGTCGTCCTATTGTGTGTGTGTGTGTGTGTGTGTGTGTGTGTGTGTGTGTGTGTGTGTGTGTGTGTGTGTGTGTGTGTGTGTGTGTACGTGCTCCCTGATCCTCACATGGTCCACCACCATGTGGTCAACAACACTGTACCAATCACCACATCATCGCTACTGTCACATCACTACATCAAGCAGTTACTACACCAGTTACTACACTAGTCTCTACACCAGCCAGTCGCTACAACAGTCACTATACCGTCACTATGCCGGTCAAGTGAGTAACACATATTAAAATCCGTCATTGTGTAAGATTGTAAAGAAAGTTAACAAGAGCTTTACAGCATTTTATAAAGCCTTTCACAGCTTTTGTTTTTGGGTGAAGGTCAGGGTGGATGAGTGAAGGTCAGGGTGGATGAGTGAAGGTCAGGGTGGATAGGTAAAGGTCAGGGTGGATAGGTAAAGGTCAGGGTGGATAGGAAAAGGTCAGGGTGGATAGGAAAAGGTCAGGGTGGATAGGAAAAGGTCAGGGTGGATAGGAAAAGGTCAGGGTGGATAGGAAAAGGTCAGGGTGGATAGGAAAAGGTCAGGGTGGACAGGAAAAGGTCAGGGTGGATAGGTAAAGGTCAGGGTGGATAGGAAAAGGTCAGGGTGGATAGGAAAAGGTCAGGGTGGATAGGAAAAGCTTAGGGTGGATAGGTAAAGGTCAGGGTGGATAGGTAAAGGTCAGGGTGGATAGGTAAAGGTCAGGGTGGATAGGTAAAGGTCAGGGTGGATAGGTAAAGGTCAGGGTGGATAGGTAAAGGTCAGTGAGAAAAGCTGGAGACCATGAGCTAAGATCAAAGAGGAATTTGATAAACATATACCCAGGTGTTAATTCTTTGGAATCACATTAAAAACTTAGAACGTTAGAATATATATATTGAATGTTTTAATCAGAATGTTGTTAAGAAGTATTTATTATATTGTAAACATTCCTAAATTAATTATGGTTTTTCTTTTATTTTTCAGGACTAGGAATATAATAGTGAAACATGGAGTGTGTCGACCGTAGAGTTTCCATCGCCGCTCAGATACTGTGTAATCCACCTGCTGCAGTGACCCACCGCCACCTGCTACCTGAAACTAGTGAATTCACCGCTGCTGGTGCCTGAAACTAGTGAATTCACCGCTGCTGGTGCCTGAAACTAGTGAATTCACCGCTGCTGGTGCCTGAAACTAGTGAATTCACCGCTGCTGGTGCCTGAAACTAGTGAATTCACCGCTGCTGGTGCCTGAAACTAGTGAATTCACCGCTGCTGGTGCCTGAAACTAGTGAATTCACCGCTGCTGGTGCCTGAAACTAGTGAATTCACCGCTGCTGGTGCCTGAAACTAGTGAATTCACCGCTGCTGGTGCCTTAAACTAGTGAATTCACCCCCGTCTGGCATCCTGGGACCCACCGTCCCCTGAGTACCATGGTATTGTGGTTGTCATTGAAAACATTGCATTGAAAACTGTGAAATTACCTGCGGGAAAATACGTGGCGAGACCTCGAGACACCTGCAGCAGATGTGGGGGTTGACAATGCCTCTCCACACACACCTGTGCTTCCCAAGTACACACCTGTGTTAGCCAGACGTGTTCTTACAACCCTATTAAAAGCGTCGCATCTGGGCTGTTGGTCCATTACGCAGGAGAGACATATATATATATATATATATATATATATATATATATATATATATATATATAAGTCAGTAGATCTCCTCCCTTACATTGTGTGGTGCCGACACGTGCTTAATCATATCAATATGTTCCTTTCAGATCAATTCTGAAATTACCGAGATATATATATTTATATAAGTTATATAGATTATAGTGTATATACAGAAAACAAAAATTACCAATATGGTTAAGACACCCCAGGCTTAACGATCATTTTAATGTGTAATAATCGTTAATGTGACTATGGTGTTAGTGTTTTTGTCTTCTTAAGCAACAGAAGAGCTGCTAAGTGTTTTCTTAAGCAACAGAAAAACTGCTAAGTGTTTTCATCATTAAACTGTAGAATATCGAAGCTTTCATTAGCGTCAAAGTGAAATATAAGCTTAAATTGCAAGTGAGATCACCCTTTTATCTTGAGATTCGAGTTAAGTTGTCTAGACGAGAGTTCGCTTCCACCCACGTCTCCGAAGCTTTTCGAATGCGATAAGATACAGTCTTGTGATTCCATTATGGAGATCAAGTGTTGCGGGCTGTGATGCGCAGTGATAGTGACTGCGATGTGACTGATGGGTAAGACTGACGCGGCGCAGGACAACCTGGCAACCTCCGTCTTTATCAAGTCTTTGCGACACCACGAGCCTCGCCCCGTCTGTCCTGCCGCCCCTCGGCACGCCATCATGTGCGAGTGTCACAGGCGCTATCGTTCCTCTTCCTCTACTAGCACCCCTAATCTCACCTCCTCTTCCTCTTCCAAACCCATCCCTAATCTCGCCTCCAAGCCCACCACTAATCTCGGGTCCTCAAAGCCCACCACTAATCTCGCGTCCTCAAAGCCCATACCCAATCAAATGTCCTCTAAGCCTACCTCCAATTTCGTCTCCTCCAAGCCTAATGTCACTTCCAAACCCATCCCTAATTACACGACTAAGCCCACCTCCAATCTTCCCTCTAAACCCACATCCAATCCCGCTTCCTCCAAGCCCAACGCCAATATCTCCGCATCAAAAAACACCTCGAATCCCGCTTTCTCCAAACCTACTCCCAATCCCACTTCCTCCAAGCCTACTGCTAATCTCGCCTACTCCAAACCCATCTTAAATGGCAACAACAACAACAATAACAACTCCAACAGACAGGCTCTCAAGGAGAAGTTCTTGGCCAATGAGAAGCACGGCAAGAACTTCAGCTTGTCCTCCAGCAGGTACAAGAACTACAAGGGCTCACCTAAGTGGAAAGTGGACGGACGGGTGAGTTAAATGATATTGTAAAACATTTTGTGTAGTGAAATAGGTAGATTGATCTACCTATCAGATAAAAAGAATATTGGTTGAGGGAGGTACTCATGTTAGAATTATATATCGGTCGTGAGAGGTACTCAAGTTAGAAGTATATCGACCGTGAGAGGTACTCAAGTTAGAAGTATATCGGTCGTGGGAGGTACTCAAGTTAGAAGTATATCGGTCGTGAGAGGTACTCAAGTTAGAAGTATATCGGTCGTGAGAGGTACTCAAGTTAGAAGTATATCGGTCGTGGGAGGTACTCAAGTTAGAAGTATATCGGTCGTGGGAGGTACTCAAGTTAGAAGTATATCGGTCGTGGTAGTGTACTTGTGGTATATTACTTGCTAATGTAAATTTTGTGTCGGGGGGACAGGAAGCCAGGTTATATATACAGTACATGTTAAGCTTTTGCAGAGGTCCATCCATGGTCGAATTACTGACCCGCCCAGGATACAACCCCATAACAAGCTAACTCCTGGGTACTTATTTACTGCTAGGTGGACAGGGGGCATGAGGTGAAAGAAAATGCGCCCAACCATGTGTGTGTCGGCCGGGATTAGAACCTGGAATTCTCGTCTGTGAGTCGAGAATGAATTAATGTTACTCTTGGATATCATGCCCACTGGACTGTGGCGTCGGGCGATATGCGTATGGCGTAGAATCAATGTGGGCTGTTCAAGATAAATGTCTTAGGGAAGTATTGAGATCCAATTGGTAATAATCGGGACACGTTCTTCTGCGACACCCAGATGAGGCAAAAGGCCAGACGTCCACCCAGTATTTTCATAGTTATCCCAAAATGTTTCATTTTCTTCGACGCTGAAGCTCTAACTATTTTCTATGAAAGCTACGCATAGTTAGGGCAGACTTAAATAATTCAGTTCTCTGATAAAATTATTAAAGAGGATTAAAACATTTGCGGAATTGATATAATTTAACGTTTAACAAGAATTCAACGTGATGTCACAATCTAATATAATATATTAAACGTATATATGGAAGCGTCCCTCACCTAAGAAAAAAATGACTACTAAATACTTCGCAATGCATGAGAAAATTCCATCACTATATAACTTTATCTACAAAGTTACTGTGATCAAATATAATCGGATTATTTTGTGCAGTTATGGATACATTTATAGATATAAATTTTATTTAAAACATTTTAAGATAGACGAAAAAGTTTAATTTCCAAGATATAGGTTATATATATATATATATATATATATATATATATATATATATATATATATATATATATATATATATATATATATATATATATATATATATTAGTATATTTTGGTAGCAGTCTTTCTCTTATTTATTTATTTATTTATTTATTTATTTATTTATTTGTAAACATATGTTGTTAAATTTGAACGAAAAGGTAACATTAATAATTCTAACACGAATTTTTACAATATTTCTTATGTTTCTTTTCACTGTCGATGGCAATTGAAAAATCAATTCTCCAAAATTCATTTGTATTTCTAGTCTGACGCGATGCCTGAACGCGTTTTGTAATAACTTATTACATTTTCAAAGACTTTAGTTTACACACACAACTGTAACCTTTAAACACGCAAAATACATTCATACTTATACTCGCATTTGAGTGAGTTGATATGGTACAAAAGTTTTGGGTGAGGTGATTGACATTTGGACATGATACAACACGAACCAATGGGTATAAAACATAAGAATGGAAGTTACTGCAGAGGGCCTATTGGCCCATACTTCCTCTTGATGCTTCTATATTGGTTCGGAGTCTTGAAGTGGGTAGAATATAGTTGTGCATTAATTGGCTGTTGACTGCTGGTGTCGACTTTTTGATGTGTAGTGCCTCGCAGACGTCGAGCCGTCTGCTATCGCTGTATCTATCGATGATTTTTGTGTTGTTTGGTAAGATTTCTCTGGTGATGGTCTGGTTGTGAGAGGAGATTATATGTTCCTTGATGGAGCCCTGTTGTTTATGCATTGTTAATCGCCTGAAAAGAGACGTTGTTGTCTTGCCTATATAATGAGTTCTTTGGGGCTTACACTCCCCAAGTGGGCATTTGAAGGCATAGATGACGTTGGTTTCCTTCAAGGCGTTCTGTTTGAACGGTCGTGGTTTTCTATTCAGCTTTTCAGGTAAACTCACATATTCACAATATATTTGACAGTACGGTTTAATACTATACTAAACTATGTGGGCCTGCTGGCCGCTCCAAGCAACAGCCTAATGGTGGAAGTTAAATATGACCATATGACCAGGCCACAAGTCAAGCCTGGCCTCAGGCCGGGCTTGGGGAATAGAACTCCCAGAACCCCATCAAGCAGGTAATACTAAGTGAAAATAAGTACATTTCCTGACTGTTAGGAATAGTACATAATTACACTTGTGCTCTTACATTTACCTCCCCATATTCGGAGGGTGGGCTGACTCTCACGCTAAAAGAAAACTTCCTAACATCTCTGTGACTCATCTGCGTTTCCCGCTTCCACCCATGTCCCCTCATTCTGTTACTATTACGTGTGAACATTTCGTCTATTTCCACTTTGTCAATTCCCCTGAGTATTTTATACGTTCCTTTCATATCCCCCCCTCTTCCTTCTTTTATCTAGTGTCGTGAGGTTCAGTTCCTTCAGGCACTCTTCATAACCCATCCATCGTAACTCTGGGACAAGCCTCGTGGCAAAATTCTGAACCTTTTCCAGTTTCCTTATGTGTTTCTTCAGGTGGGGGCTCCATGATGGTGCGGCATACTCTTAGACTGGTCTCACGTAGGCAGTGTAAAGCGCCCTAAAAGCCTCCTCACTTACGTTTCTGAATGATGTTCTAACTTTTGCCAGTGTTGAGCACGCTGCTGTCGTTATCCTATTTATATGTGCCTCAGGAGTTAGATTAAGTGTTACGTCCACTCCCAGGTCTCTTTCTCGAATCGTTACAGGTAGGCAGTTCCCCTTCATTGTGTACTGTCCCTTTGGTCTCCTATCACCTGATCCCATTTCCATAACTTTACATTTACTCGTGTTGAACTCCAGTAGCCATTTCTCTAACCATCTTTGCAACCTGTCCAGGTCCTCTTGGAGGATCCTACAATTCTTATCTGTCACAACTCTTCTCATTAATTTTGCGTCATCCGCGAACATTAACATGTAGGATTCCACTCCTGTAAACATATCATTTATGTAAACTAGAAATAAAATTGGTCCCAGCACCGATCCTTGAGGTAATCCACTCGTTACTGTTCGCCAGTCCGACTTCTCGCCCCTTACCATTACTCTCTGGCTCCTTCCTGTTAGGTAGTTCCGTACCCATGCTAGGGCTTTTCCGCTTACTCCTGCCTGCCTCTCAAGTTTGAATAGCAGTCTCATGTGCGGTACTGTATCAAAGGCCTTTTGGCACTCTAGAAATATGCAGTCTGCCCAACCTACTCTGTCCTGCCATATCCTTGTTATTTTATCATAGAATTCCAAAAGGTTTGTTAGGCATGATTTCCCGGCCCTGTCCAGTGTGTGTGTGTGTGTGTGTGTGTGTGTGTGTGTGTGTGTGTGTGTGTGTGTGTGTGTGTGTGTGTGTGTTTGTGTGTGTGTGTGTGTGTTTGTGTGTGTGTGCGTGTGTGTGTGGAAAAAAATAGTAGTAACAGTTGATTGATTGACAGTTGAGAGACGGGCCGAAAGAGCAGAGCTCAACCCCCGCAACTAGGTGAATACAAAAGTCTTCTTTTGTAAACAGAGTGATAGACGGTTGGAACAAGCTAAGTGAGAAGGAGGTGGAGGCCAAAACCGTCAGTAGTTTCAAAAGTGTTGTACGACAAAGAGTACCGGGAAGACGGGACACCACGAGCTTAGCTCTCATTATGTAACTACACTTAGGTAATTACACACGCACACACACACACACACACACACACACACACACACACACACACTGTACTATCACCTCTAAGGGGAAAAACTTGCCCCCTTTAGTGTGTGAATGCGTGACTTGCACCATACTGTGACTAGGCTTCAGTAACGATTCAAATCTCGCAAAGGTTTTAAATTCCATTAGATAAGCTTAATATATATATATGTGTGTGCAGCACTTTGGTGGTCTTGAAGATTCCCGGTGACGATAAATTTTTGCTTTGAAGTTTAGTTAAGGTATTCAAGGTATTACTGTGTTAATATTTATTTTGTATTTATATTTTAGCGTTGAGTATTAGTGTGTTTGTGTCGATACTTGACGTAATGGCCCTTGACGAGAGGTTATTTGTTTTATTTTAGAGGAAATCAACGTCGACGGAGTCGGTAGCCTCGTCCAGATCCGAGAAGTCAGATAAAGAGAAGGAGAGTGAGCAGGAGGTGGACCAGGTGAGTACCAGTATGTGTTTATGGCTCTCTGTCTGTCTCTCTCTCTCTCTCCCTCTATGTCTCTCTGTCTCTCTGTCTCTCTGTCTCTCTGTCTGTCTGTCTCTGTCTCTCTCTCTCTCTCTCTCTCTCTCTCTCTCTCTCTCTCTCTCTCTCTCTCTCTCTCTCTCTCTCTCTCTCTCTCTCTCTCTCTCTCTCTCTCTCTCTCTCTCTCTCTCTCGCTTCGGCTCTCTCTCTCTCTCTGTCTCTCTCTCTCTCTCTCTCTCTCTCTCTCTCTCTCTCTCTCTCTCTCTCTCTCTCTCTCTTCTGTCTCTCTCTCTCTCTCTCTCTCTCTCTCTCTCTCTCTCTCTCTCTCTCTCTCTCTCTCTCTCTCTCTCTCTCTCTCTCTCTCTCTCTCTGGATTTCACTATGTATGTAGTGTTAAGCTATAACTTTAGATGATTTAACTCTTAATCTACAGATATGTACAAGTCATCCGGCAGTGAAAAGTAGGTATCATCTTTACATTAAAATGTAAATTATGATGGATATATAGTATATAAATTGTAGATGTTTATTTTGGGGACTTTTTTTTTTACCATATCTGTTGATCGGTGGCCATTCTGGTGCTTAATAGCGGATTGTGTTGTAATTGTTAAACATTCTGTGTGTCACATTGTGGGATGGGAACATAGATGGACGAGTATAACCCGCGCTCTGATTATGGGAAGCTGAGGTCATTGGTATAGCGATTGGGCACATGTTTACATCTCAGGTGGTGGTTGAAGAGTCTTGAGTGTCATTGACTCTATGCGATGCAATCAGTCGTGAGTGTGTGTGTGTGTGTGTGTGTGTGTGTGTGTGTGTGTGTGTGCTTTCTTGTGAGCTCACCCATGCAGACTAGCTGTTTTCTAGTCTTAGAACAGGTACTCACCCTAGTTGTGCTTGCGGGGGTTGAGCTCTGGCTCTTTGGTCCCTCCTCTCAATTGCCAATCAACAGGTGTACAGGTTCCCGAGCCTACTGGGCTCTATCATATCTACCTTTGAAACTGTGTATGGAGTCAGCCTCCACCACATCACTGATGTCAGGGGGAGACATCTATTCACCACCTTCGCAACAAGTGGAAGTAGCCTTTCACCATCTATGTAACCAGTGGAGTTAAACTGTTTAGAAGTACTGTACTAAGTCCAGACAGCTGTTCAAACACCATGGAGGCAGGTGTTTACCAGCCTTGGATCGGAGGAGAGAGTGAGTCGTAAACCGTAACCTGTATGTTACTCCCTGGAGCCTACTTCCAAGACGTCTCCAAGTCTCTGTCAACAACAAATGCATGTAAGGGTTTCATCAGCGTCTCAGAATGGTCATTGTGCTTTGCAGAGTTTAAGTAATTCATAATTCGTAAGGGGTCGTTACCACGCACTGTTAAGTTGGTACATGATGTCATTCTCAACTGGCAAATGTTCGCCTTTTGCCAGGCTGTCAGCTGCTACGGAGCTGTCATATAGCAAGTGTCCTGTCTAGTGTTGACCATTATTGCACACATATACCAAATACATAATGTTTTCCCTGTGGGATAATATATTAGAGGAAAGATATTGATGTTATATGGGCCATGTAGACGGGTTCGCTGCTAATGAAAGCAGCGAGTTGGGGTTTAAATGCATATAACCCTGACAGGATGAACAACCCAGCGGGTTTTCTTCCTATTGGGGAGTGTTGTACATGCTGCTATGGCGGTGTGGCCACTCACAAGATGAGTAGCGCTGCCCAATAAACTCGCCCCTCGGGGCAAAATTTAAAAATTTAAAAATGCATATAGCCATCTGGAGGGCCAGAAACGAGGGTTTTGAGCTGTGTGTTGTGAAAGATTAGTTCACGTGAGAAGTCTGGAAGAGAGGAGGGAGGCTGAGAGACGGTAATAATGTGTGTGCTTCCTCACAGTACAAAACTAAACATGACGTCAACCTAGGGAATCTGGTGGACCATTGCTCATCGAATGTGTACACTCTGTTGCTTGACTCTTCCGACGGTCATTAATGACCTCCGACCCGAGGTGTTGGTATGGGGTCAGTATTATTCTGGGTTGTGTTTTATGGTTTATGAGTATCATTGTAAAGTTTGGGGGTAAAATGAATAGGATGGAAAAGTGTGATGAAATGTATCATGAGAGATGTGGCTGAGGGAGGTGGGTGGTGGGTGGGTGGTGGTAGGTGGTAGGTGAGTGGGTGGGTGGTGTTTGGTGGGTGGGTGGGTGGTGAGTGGGTGGTGGTAGGTGGGTGGGTAGTGTTTGGTGATTGTTTTGTAGATAATTGTAGATAGTGTGGTTTGTAGAGTACCTCTCATGTCTGGTACTGCGGGAGTGCCTCCCATGTCTGGCACTGGGGGAGTGCCTCTCATGTCTGGCACTGGGAGAGTGCCTCTCATGCCTGGCACTGGGAGAGTGCCTCTCATGTCTGGTACTGCGGGAGTGCCTCCCATGTCTGGCACTGGGGGAGTGCCTCTCATGTCTGGCACTGGGGGAATGCCTCTCATGTCTGGCACTGGGGGAGTGCCTCTCATGACTGGCACTGGGGGAGTGCCTCTCATGTCTGGCACTGGGGGAGTGCCTCTCATGACTGGCACTGGGGGAGTGCCTCTCATGTCTGGCACTGGGGGAGTGCCTCTCATGACTGGTACTGGGAGAGTGCCTCTCATGTCTGGTACTGGGGGAGTGCCTCTCATGTCTGGCACTGGGAGAGTGCCTCTCATGTCTGGCACTGGGGGAGTGCCTCTCATGACTGGCACTGGGGGAGTGCCTCTCATGTCTGGCACTGGGGGAGTGCCTCTCATGTCTGGTACTGGGGGAGTGCCTCTCATGTCTGGCACTGCTGGTGGGGAGAGAAGAACTAGAGTGCCGTCACTAGTAATTATGTTGACGTACGTAATTACCTAAGTGTAGTTACAGGATGAGAGCTACGCTCGTGGTGTCCCGTCTTCCCAGCACTCTTTGTCGTATAACGCTTTGAAACTACTGACGGTCTTGGCCTCCACCACCTTCTCACTTAATAATTTGTTCCAACCGTCTACCACTCTGAAATGGACAGGGAAAAAAAACGTATGTGTGTGTGTGTGTGTGTGTGTTTACGTGCGCGCGCGTGTGCGTGGACTCACCTAGTTGTGCTTGCGGGGGGTTGAGCTCTGGCTCTTTCATCCCGCCTCTCAACTGTCAGTCAACTGATGTACAGATTTTGGAGCCTATTGGGAGTCTATCAAATCTACATTTGAAACTGTATATGTGTGTGTGTAATCCACCTGAGAATTTTGTATGCTGTTATCATGTCTCCTTTACCTCTTTACTCACAATTCACTCAAAGAGCGTCCAGAGGGAGCATCCGATCCCTTGATCATCGTACAACAACCACCTTAACTCTTCTATCTTTCGACTCCTTGTAGTTTCCTTGTAACTCATACCTATCAGCTCCAGGACTGTGAGAGTGAGTGAATGAGAGAGTTGGTTGGTGACGTCAGTTGAGAGAGTGCTTGTCAGAGGGAGTTAGTTCCTCTCTGGGTCAACTGCATGAGTACCCCGTACACTCTACTCACTGTACGTACATATGTGAGTACCACCCCACTGCACATACTCACGTGTACACCATCATTTTCTCCCATTTTAAAATGTTGATGGGTAAATTGTTTCACATGTACGTAACTATATTGTCAATTCTGTATACATATGCAACATGCTATGTATGCCTTTCATCCGTGTATACCTGAGTCATTCTGGGGTTGGCTTATATCTTTCAGGTGAAGGATTTTACGTGTTTTAAATTGATCTTCAATAGGATGAATCCTGATGATAGGATGATGAGTTTGTGTTGAGTGTATGATGAGTAAAGGTATCGTATGGCTGGATATGTTGAGAACATTCTTTTAGGTCACATTTAACATAGCAACTAACTAGAGTGGGAATTTTTTTTTCTACCACACACGTGGCCAGACATTTACAATGCTAACCAGCATATATACATTTTCTTCTGTCCTCCATGGACAGGAGTTTGTGTGACGCGCCGTGGAGGTAATTGTCAGGCATTGTAGAAGGTGTTTTCAGTGTGACAAGGAAGTGGGTGGGGGGCAGAGTAGTTCGTATTTCATTTGTCCTCATCTTTGAACTTTCTGTGTTACTTTCTTACCGTATTTCCTCAAGCAACATTCACCTGTTTTCTTAAGCTTCTCCACCTCCTCGTCTTCCCCACCTCACACACATGTCCTGTTTTCTTTGAAACACGTGTTGTACTTGTCCTTGCTTCAGCTGTCACATATTACCGTTGTCATCCTTTCTCTTGGATGATGTATGTGTTTCGTCATCCGTAAGTTGATGCACTCCACCCAGTGTATCCACATGCACCTTCCTGTCATCCACTCTCACATCCGGCTCGTGCTCCGACCCTCCCCGCCCACCCATCGTGTAACCCAAGCACCACCCGCCGCCCACCCCCTCCTGTAAACCACACACCCCCCCCCCCCCCAACAACCCCTCCACAGCGGGACGACCTCGGCTCCCCCACCACCACCACTCAGGACACTACCCACCACACTTGCCCGCCCCCTCACCGGCATTTTGCCCGCTCGGCTTGTTGGTGTGCGTGCGGCGTTGTGGTGGCTCCGTGTGCTGCGGCCGTCCCTGCGGTCCCCTGCGGTCCTCTGCGGTCCTCTGCGGTCCCTTGCAAGTCCCTCAATCTCGCCCCCTGGCCGCCGACGGCACTCACGGTGTTCTAAAGCGCTCTCTGCCCCGCCTGCCCCGCCTGCGGCATGTACTGTGGCCCCCTAACTGTGCTAATCAACTGGCATCGAAGGAGGCTTGAGTCGTGAGGGTACTTTGCGTCTCACCTCTAGTGTCAGGACTGGTGCGTGACCCGTGGGGACGTCGGATGGTGAACAGTTGGGTATTAGTGCAGTGGTGCCCAGTTGGCACGGGGCCAGGGAAATGGGAACCAGTGAGGATTCGCGTATGGTGGGTGAGGTGATGTGGTGTCATTACAGTCAG